TACAGTATACCTTAAGTCTGTTACCTTGATAATTGAATTTATTACAGATATACAGACTTTTTACAGCAGTGATTTTGTTTGTGCCTACACATATAACACATTGGGTTGTCGCCTGCTTCGTCATGGCCATGGTATCAGCCACCTCAGCTGCAAGGAGAGAGCATGCAATAGTCATCCTAATGTTCCAGATGCATATATTGTTTGTTGTGTTTCAGAGCACAGAGTCTTTAGCACTTTTGCACTCATTTGGCAATTTTGGGCTGTACTAGCAGTAATTATAATTGGGTCAGAAATCAAGGTGTCCTGGCACCTGCTGACTTGAGCACACCAAATCCTGGTTATTTGAGTCAAGATCGTGTAGTGGAGCAAAGTTGTTTGTTAATATAATGCTGTATATGTCAATTGTATGTTAATATGATGGTGGAGGAAAGAAACATAGATGTGAGGAGAGGGAAGCAGAAGAAGTATTTATGTGATTAGCCAAGAAGAATGAGAGAGAATGGAGGAGCATTCTTTCTTAAATGTGTGCTTCTATCACTCCTGTGTTAAAAACAACATACTTGCACCCCTTAACAGCTTAACAACTACCACTGTAGTTCCAATTTACCATTTTCTCTCAAAACGTCTGAACTGGCAAAGAATGGCTGGTCAATTTCAATATTATCTTGAATCTAATGAGCTCTTTAAACCTCTTCTCTTGGGGTTTAGACACAGACAAAACCCTTGTTAAGATACTTAATGATTTGCTGATGGCTTCTTATTGAAGATTTTTTTAATAGTATTCTCCTTCTGGATTTGAGTACAGCTTTTGATGCTGTCAATCACAACATCCTGCTGAGCAATGTGGAAAATGATCCGAGGCTCAGAAAATTGGCTATTGTGGGAGTTCCAGTTTCTTATCTGAAAGTCCACATATCCAGGATGATCCACATTGTTCTGTGACTGGATCACGCAGTTCAGTTGCACTTTAATATTTATATGATGCTTGTTAGTCAGTTTATTTATTAGCAGAGAGTTGAGTTTTATTGTTATGTGATCACATTCGGATATGGGTAATATATTATTACTATAGATCTCTTTAGCTATATTGTGACAAGACCGTGAGGCTCCCAGCATCAGGTTTGGAAGAGGCTGATTTTGAAGTCAAGCCCCTGAGGAAAGTTAGAAATTAGAAGTTAGAAGTTAGTATTAATGGTGCCACACTGCATGCAACAGAACCTTCTCTTGTGCTACATCATGACTGTGGAACTCACTGCCAAAACCAATTACAGACTCCGTGACTTTTGTTATTTAAGAAAGACTCTGGAATAATACTGTAACTGGTGGGCTGTAGGTTCCACTCCCTGCTGCAAACACTGCAGACTTTACCCCAGTTGCTCCAGTCTACCCAGTAAAATGGAGACCAGCATTTTACTTATGTGTTCTGTCTTATGGGGGTTATTATATGATGCTTTTATTTTCCTCTTAAGCATTCATAAAATATGTAAAATGAATAGTAAAGATTTTAATAGATATTTGAAATTTTGCAGTCTATGTCTTCATGTTTCTACTTATATTTGTTTCAAGATCTTATTTTATGAGGAACATATCTTTTACAAGCAATTGACAGAATGAATGTGTAAATTACACTCAATCAGCAATGCTTACATTGCACAGACCTTGCAAAAAAGCATTTGTAAGCATTTAACAGTAAGGGTAGAAACTAAAGAATTTCTAAGGATTTTTTTAAGTGTGAAAATATGCCTGTACCATTAAAACAGCCTGCTGACAGGCTGATTTCTATGACACTCTTTTGTTACTCATTCACCTGAAACTGTGGGTCACAGGTATTGATGTTGTTCTTATTTTATTTAGTGTTTTGAAATATGTCAGCAAAATTCTTTCACGGGAAATCTGCAGTATTCTACATAATGTCTTAATGCATAAATTGCTCATAAAATAGTAAGAATAACATTTTGTTTATTCCAGGGAAATTCTGAGACAGCAGATCTGCTTTGTTTGATTTAATTCTTAAATACGCCAGTGAAAACAATATGATCAGGGCAATCTCATGGTGCTTGGTTCTTAAGACTTTTTGCATACAAAGTAAAGACAGAACACCACATTACCCAAAATGATTGGCTACAAATTCTTGAACCCGAGCAAGTAAATATACTGTATTCAGATATTCAGACTGTATTTCTCCTATTTTGCTATTCACTTTATCTTTTCTCTTACAAAATAAATGTCCACACTCATCTACAGTATAAAAGCTAAACCACTGCAGCTAGATGTCCGTGAGGCTTGTGTTACTACTGGATTAGGATCAGAAAACAGCAGAGGTAGTTTCTGGTAGAGCAAAAAACTTGGGACAGAATGCAGTTGCACAGTCCGAAAGGCATTTGTGGTTATGAAGGACTGAAAATGAAATGAATGCCTTTGCAGAAACAATTCTGTGGCTTGCTTTGAACAAAGATAACAGACAAAATGTTGTATGTTTTTTTTTTTTCCGGTTTACGAAAATGTTAAATATCTCAGATTTGGATCTCAAAAATATCAAGCAGAGGATAATTCTCTGCTGAAGAATAAAAATAATTAAAGGGTAAAAGAAGAAAAAAGGGAAAAAAGAAAAATGTAAACCAGTGCCTATGAATCCTGGTGTGACTTTCTTTATAATTTTTCAATGTGGAGTTAACCTCTGTTTGCTCCTTTGCAGCTTTCTGATTGATGTAAATCTACAACTCAGCCTCCTCCACATTAAAGCTGAGATAACTGTTATCTTTCTAGAGGACACAATGACAGTGCTGGCATGTTAGCAATGTGTTCTCTACATACAGCAGATAGGCTTGTGAATCCAGGCACAAGCAGCGGTCTAATTAAGGTGCAGGGGGGAAGCAACTGAAGTGTGTGGATGATGAATCAGTTTTAGGACAAGAAAAAAGGAATGGTTAGCTAAATTTAGCTGTCTAGGATAGATTATAACATTATGGGAACATTTTGCAGGGCACCATCTATTGAAAGCCAATTCTTTTTTTTTCCTTTTTAAGTGTTAAACCACATTCCTCTACACTGTACTTTGATTGAAAGATTTGTGTGAAAATGAATCTCACATGCAATTAGCTTCCATTGCAGAGAATGTTGTATACTGAAGCCTTGTCATCCTGTAACTCTGGGATAAACATCTGCAGTGCAGTTTGTACAACATGCAGAAGAACAAGATACTGCATTTTAAAATTTTGTGGATGCCTTGCTCAACACAAACATTATATGGTTTTCTGAATGGGGTTGTTGGGATTAACTGAATGGGGGGATACCATCTGTGTTATAAAATTCATGTCTTTCTCCTTTTCATGGAAACCAGTGACATGTTTAGGATGAAATTGTTTATAGACAAATTAATCACACATTATTCATACTTTTTCTTCTTAATTAACCATCTGTTAACTACGTACTTTGTAAAACAATAATCAAATATTTAGAAGCACCACCTTAATATCAAGTGTTATGGGTTACATTTATAGTTCATCACCATTGACTGCAAAGATGATTCAGTTGCGCAGACAGTAGTTGTACTGTATAAAGTATGTGCACTCTTAAGAATACTTACAGTAGCTAGCTGAATTCACACAGGCTCTGAATGGTTGAGGTTAGATAATCAGAATTCATTGTGAGTACAACAGGAGTTTAAATCTAAAACACACTTATTGTGATCACTGCCATTTTACTGCATCCGTATCTAAAGATGAGGTAAAAAGTGCATAAACTGAGACCTCCAATAAATGTCATACAACCCATAGTGTCCTTGGCTTATTGTTCCTCCTGAAAGCATCTGACCATAGCACAACTTGGATTTAAATAAGGAACACTCAATATGCAGGGCTTGTGCTGCACTTAGAAACAAAGAGTAGATTTGCAGTACTCAACACCAGTGAATCGCAAGTCCATGTGAGCTGTCATGACCGTTGTCATGGCACTTTTTGGAGAAGCAGTCCGTACATCTACAGCATACAGTACAGTATACAGTATGTTTATTTACAGAAAATTAACAGTATTGTAAAAAAAACTAACATTGTTTGAATGTTTAAATTTGTTGAATCTACTTTTGCATTCTCATTTACTGTGTCATTCTTCATAAAAGAACTTATTTTAGCTTAAGTTGACTGGTGTTCATTCAAGATTATTTCTAGATATTTACACATTAAGAAGCTATTGGCCATCTGTGACTTGGAGGCAGATTGTGAGGTCTTTCCCAAGATATAAACACCAACTGCTACTGTTAGGAAACTAATTTATTTCTAGGCAGAAAGCCAGTGGAGCCACACAATCTTTCTAGGTCTTCTCTGCATTGCTTTTTTTCTGAAGAAAATATTTTTAAGGATCAACAACGGCTGTTCTTTTCCTGCAATCTTTGAAAATCCACCACATATTAACCAGACTTAAATGAAACAATAGTTTCCAAAAACACATTGCGCTGAGGATGCAGCCGAGCTCAATCCACATAGCCTAGCCTACACAAGAAAAAATAAGATGAGCTCTTGGCCCTTCTTAAACCAAATAATATTTTCTGAAATTTATTTTTGTCCATTTTTTTGTCATGTAAACACGCTATGAAATGAATTTGGCAAACCTTAAAAATGGGAAAAACGGCAACAGAATAGACCAATTAGATCTACAGTGTTAGTTAAATTTTATATCTATTCAGGGCAATATCAGGCTTTCATAACAGTTGAAAGGCTCATCAATAGATCTGAACAGTATTTTGTCATAAGATAATGATGCTTTACTATAATGTTGGCTGATGTGTGAATGCAAAACATTTTACATTTGCGCCCATTTACACTGGAGGGGGCGGGCATTTTACTGGAATAACTGGGACTGGAATCCCCTAACTTTTTCATTCTAAGATTGGAACCCTAACCACTACTCAACACTGCTAAATACTGGAAGGTAGAGAACTCCCAACTGAGACACACTGCCTTAAACTACTACAGGGGAAACTGAAACAAGAAATTCCCACGCACCTTGTGAAAGTTTCGGAAATAAGCTGCCTTCTCGTCTGGAAATTTCTCTAATCGTCTTGGACCTTTACTTGATGCCTTCTTCAACACTAACCAGCATCTTCTGAAAATCTGTCAATGAAATAACGGAGATGCCATTAGGAATTTTGCAGCTTGGTCATCAGAACAAGTAATTAAATAAAAAAAGGAAAGAGCAATATGCGTTGTAGCAGGGTAAAATCTATTTACTTGTGAATCATTGCCTTATTAAGGATTCATTCTCTCAGAAATGACTGGCTCTAGTCCATCTGGCAGAGCTTATCTTTACAGTAAAAAAATATATTTCCGTAGTCCACCCACGTTTCAGACTGCAACTTGAGCTTGACCTTGACATTTTGTTTCTAGGAATGGAGTTACAGATATCACAACCTCTTTCTTCAAGAAAAAAAAATCTCGTTATCACAAGAATTGCAAAACATTTAGACAAGCAAGCAAAAGAAACAAGAGAAGTAGTTGCTTTCAGTCTATCTGATTGCATCCAGGAAACTGGGGAAGTGCCAGAGAAAACAGGGAGGGATCAAAATGTTATTGCTTGGGTATGAATCAGTGAGGTTTGTCATATGCTGCTTGATCTCTTAATTTATCAGCCCCCTGGCATTCTCCCATGGAGTGCACTGAAAAAAACGATTGTGACAGTTAGGCCCAATCATTACCTAAAAGGCAGCACTGAAACTACCGCCCTTTGTTAGTCAAGACACCTGCAGGCTCATGGTCATAAACAGCATCCAATGTAAGGAACACAGCTGGGCAGAGGGAAGAGGTGTAATATGTCATCTGCTGACAAATGATTTAAAACAAATTTAAAACCACTCTTCTTTCAAAATGGCACTGGGGCATGGTGCTAACCACCTTTTACTCACATCTCCTGGGTCCCGGGTTCCAGTCTGTACTTGGGAATGATCTGAGTAGAGTTTCCCACCTTTAGTTAAAATATTTAGTAGAGTACTAAAGGGATCTACTGTATACTAGGATCACTGCTCTTTGCAATTAAATAATATGAATGATCTAGATAATTAACAAATTAGTCGTTCACAGGTGCTTCCAGAATAGGAGGATTAGAAAACATTATAGAAGCTGCAGAAGGAACAAAAAAACTTTGACCAAAATGAGGACAAAACACCCAACAGATTATGTTAATTGCAAACAAGTGTTGAGTGTTACCTACGGGTAGCAGAAACATCAACTACTGTATACAGCACTATACAGCAAGCATAGCAACTATACAGCAAGTATATTATGAGAAACAACAAGCTTGAAGTACAGTAGGCATATCCTTATCCTCATCTGACCAATGTACAGTATGAAAGTAATAGTCAAACAGGATATTAAAATATTCAGTATATAGGTAATGTAGAAGTTAAATTCAATAATGCTAGGTTAAAATTCTACAAGGCACCACAAAATGTATTTAAAATAAAAATGTTGTAATAAAATTATGTACAATTTTATTTCTCCACAAAATGTTGTGCTACTGTACCTTTAAATCATTCCAAAGAATATTCCCATGATCAAGGAATGCCCAACACAGAGCACAAAAAGTATTGTATGAGTTAAGAGCAAGCTACACCCATGTTGTTGAAGCCATTAATCTGAATTCTGGAAATCTGGAAATGACTGGATGAGATCTTTGGATCAATTAGTTACAAGGTACTAAATGAGCTAGATTGGCAAAATGGTTTAGAATGAACATTAAAATTGTGCATTTGAGTTAATCAATGACTGGGTACTGACATTCATGCTCCAGCAATAATGGATTATGTTAATTTCCAAATATACTGAATATCCTATTTTTATCTTGGTAACACTTGACATTAAAAGATTCTGAAGAATTCAGACCAGTAGAAAGCCTGGTCTTGGAACAGATCGCTGTGAAGAACATGATCTTGCTTTCTCCTTTATCTTGTTTTCTTCCATAGTAAGTGTAAAAATAAGTAGTGGGACAATGAATAAAATGTTAAAAGAAAAACCAACAAACGTATCCAGCATCTTATATTTTATGGAACAAGTAATAGGTTTATTCCATGCTGAAAAGAGAAGAAAGAAAACATAACATTTCGGCCGTGGAGCCTTCTTCAGGTGTCACACAACCGAAAACGTTGTGTTTTCTTTCTTCTCTTTTCAGCATGGAATAAACCTATTACTTGTTCCTTTGCAGCCTATGCATGCTGACACAGCTACCCACCTGAACTCTTATATTTTATGACCGTTTAGCAATTAAAATATATTATTTCTTCAGAGAGACTCTTTTAAAACAAAGTTTGTTTTCTTATATACTGTATTTACTTTTTTAACATTTTGACACTAAAGAAGGCCTTAATCCTACACCTTTATTATCGTGCTGCTAAATATTAGTATGGATTCAAAATGAATGATTTGAAGCAGTTTTTGAAAATAAGCTCTTTAGCTGGTTGATACACAAATGCACTTGAATTGATGTAACAAAAAAACTAGCATAACAGAACCCCCCAAAAATGTACAGGAATACCAAAATGTATTATTCTTACTTCATTAACTATCACCCTTTTCAGTGTGGTACTGTAGGTGTTAATACTGCAGTTGTGTGTTTTGCTTAATTCACAGTAACAATTAAAGTTAACAAATGTGAATAATTCTTATTCTATTAATGAAGAGATGGGTATGTAAAACAAGAAAATGAAAATGTTGGTTATTCTTCACCAAAGAAACACTCTTCATAAAACATCTGCACCAACCAAAGGATGAAAATAAATTATCGATGAACAGACTACAGTACATTTGAATGGCAATAGTAGTTAGTAGAAAAAATATGAATTTGCTGTACAATATCCCATTAAAGATTTAAAACATGAATTGTAGAAAGTTCATTTGAGAATTCATAAGAACTCCCTTTCCTGTCTCTGACAGCTAATCTTCATTTGTTTGATGTATGTTTACTCTTCACAGCTTTTCAATTGGATTTTTTCCATAGATAAGAATAATTTTGTATAGTCAGCTGATAACCTTCATAATAAATAACACAGACATTCCAATAATTGATTCATTCTCTTCTTATCCTCCTGATGCAAAAGATAACCTTTAAATGCTATTTAAACACACTGAATAGCTTTAACAAGAAAATTAAAAAAGTTCAACTTCTGATAAAGGTACTAGGAAACTTAGACATTATCTGATCTTATACTGCACAGGTTTTATTTTCACAGAGGAAAAAAAAATCATACCATGTAATTCACATCCAAACTGAAGTCATAAGATTACAATATTTTATTATATAATACTGTCACAAACTAGTGGGTTAAGAATACATGAAAAATGAGCAGGCTAATCAACAATTAAAATCAATAATTACAACCCTCCATTGTAAAAGATATGTTGAGAATATACCTGAGCTGTTGGTGTAGTTTGCGGCACCTGAGATCAGTATTCCCTGGCACAGCTTTGGCAGAACAGTAATAAATGTGAGTTCAATTAGGACAAATAAATATTTATTAACACTAACAATAACACAAACTAAACAACATACAGTATACAGTAACACAACATACAATGTACAAATTACAATATATAAAGACAAGTGTCTCCGAGGCCCATTTATTGACCATCCCTGAAATCCCAGATTGCTAAGGCAGCAGTCAGAAGTCCTATATAATACCTCAACAGACCCCCAAAAAAAGTCACACCTGAATTCAAAATAAAACAGAACACAATCCAGAGCAAAATCTACCTTCCTATAAACCTGGATGACCCAAAGCAAATGATATCTCCCTACTCTAAGAATGCGTCACTAACCTGGAGAGAACGTCTTTAGCCTGGGGCTTCCTCAATAAAGGAAAACATGTTTTCCCAAAATATCAGAAAGGCATAGCAGTTTAAACAAATGTAGTTCAAGTAGGTAGCTGCATAGGTTGCAAAGGAACAAGTAAAAGGTTTATTCTACGCTGAGAGGAGAAGAAAAGAAACAACATTTTGGCTTTGGAGTGGGTGATGATATTATAATGACGACATTTATAAAGGAATAGGAGGTGGCTAGAAAGCCTGGTCTTGGAACAGATCGCCGTGAAGAGACGGGTTTTGCTGGTTTGGTGAGAGGAAGGGGCAAGTACTGTAGCCCTGCCTTTTATCCTCACATGCCTTATCAGCTCCTGATTTCCCTCTCTCTCACAGACCCAAAGAAACGTTGTGTTTCTCTTCTTCTCTTTTCAGCGTGGAATAAACCTTTACTTGTTCCTTTGCAGCCAACGCATGCTGACGCAGCTACCTACTTGAGATAATCATATCGTAAATATTTAAAATCCTCACAGGCACTCACAAAGTCAACATAGAGGAAGTCTTTAGAATGAACAGTGAAACACAAAATAGAGGATACAAAAGGAAACTATGTGGATGTTTTATAACCAAGAACAGCATACACTTTCCCAAGGGTGGTGGGAGTATGGAACAAGCTACCCAGCCATGTTACAGCCAATACCCTGGCTTCTTTCAAGAAATGGCTGGATGGAATTCTTGGAGGGTGGGGTTAATGGACTAAATGCCCTCACCAATTTTACAACATTTCTTATCTTCTACAGTAGTAATAAGAAACTGACAGTAAAACCTACAAGCAGGTAGTAACTAATGTAACAGAACTTGCTTTATATCTTGAAAGAAGTTTAGTTTATTTGCATAGGTGCATATTCTATAAGTGCTCTCTTGTTCTTCAATACATTTAAACCCAAGTACTTGACCAACCCATCCTAAAAGATTGAATAACTTGACCTCTTACCTTTGCTTTGACATTTTCTAGCTATGAGGCAGAATCTTCACTGCTTTAAAAACAACAGTTTTGCTTTTAAGCAAACATTGTGCTATATTTCAGCACAGGAATCCTGTTATGAAATTCAGCCATAGCAATACCCAAGTTCGAATTTGCTTTCCATATTGTGCTAACCTACTGTATCCACAATTTAATATTGCTTTGCTAAAATTACTTCACATTCAGATGCTTGTTATCCTTTTTTTATACTGGTGTCCGTTTGGAGCAATCTTTAAAAAATGAGCTCTCAGTCTCAAGGATTCAATGAATGACATCACGTAATGTGCAGTACAATTCCAAATCA